TATATAATTTTTTACATTTATTCTAATATCTGATACAGACTTATGACACCAACTACATTTGACTCAGTGGCACAAAGATTGTCTTCTGAGAGTCTTAATGTGGTTGCTTGGTCCTGATAATGGAGCATAATTAATGGCTAGATTATGTTTATATCTGCCCTCTGTTGATTGTTTGAGCAAGCCCAGAGCAGCAATCTAGATGTGAAATCACTTTAATCTGTTTTCTGCAAAGACAGCAGAGATGTCATAAAAGCTAGTGCAGTAATAAAACATTTTTTTCCCACAAATTGTTCCTGTGCAACATATATTTTTCACAGTTTGAAAGAAGTGGTCAAAGGTTTGTGGGCACCCTAACACAAAACCCTAATGGAAGCATTGATAAGTAGTTTGAAAAATTCTTTTAGTAAAGCAACATAAAAGTATAATGTTTCAAACCTAGTAAGGATTCCACAAGAGATTGTTCAGATTACATTTGGTAAGGTTATTTCGAGCATCATGGATGTTAAATCCTCAATGGTGACACTGTCTTGGGTCTATTTGTTATTTCGTTTTATAGTGACTCCCTTTGGACATAGGTACTCTAAGATTTGATGATGTTTTGTTGCAGGAAGTCCTGTTTGGTTCTACATGCAAGTGGCTCCCATCAGGAATGAGAATGACAAGGTGGTGCTGTTCCTCTGCACTTTTAAGGACATTACCCTCTTCAAGCAGCCCATCGAAGATGAAACTACTAAAGGTGGGTGTTTTCACACTGCACAAATGTTTCTCTCCTTTTGTTGAAGATAAGTTTTGTGTGGAGGACGACGGAGGGCCCAAAGTCTTGACAGATTTGAAAACCCGACGCTCCCTAGTGCAGATGATGATCAGCTTGGTGCTCTGAACCACTTGAAAAGATTATGTTGTGTTTCTGGTTTATTAGACAGCAACACACTATGAAGAATAACAGCAGAGCAGTGCAGGGCATGACATGTGACAAAATGTCTGAGAGCAAAAGAAATTAATACATGGCTGGATGCTCCAATGCAATCTAACGCCACTTGGCTTGTGGTCGGACGTGTAATTAGCTTTCTTCATCCTTGTCCTTCAACAGCTTTTTTCTTCCTTTCTCTCCATCTCCTTCTGCATATGTACACTCCTACATTTTATTCTTTTCCTTTTATTACTTGATGTTTCTCTAAACTTCCTTCACCTTATCTGTAACTTTTCTTTATCATTCTCTACCTTTTCTTGCCCTTCATTTACGGTACTGACTTTCTCTTCCTTATCCTAGTTTCTTAGCTTTTCCTCCTCGTTCTTGCATCTTTTTCTTTGAACACCTGTTTTGTTTATCATCCTTCTCTCTCTTCTTCTGTTTTGCTCAGTCATCGTCTTCGCCTTGCATTGAATTTTCTCTGATATTCTCTGGTTACTGATTGCTACCTCCGTTACATTCTCTGTGTAATTATGCCCATTATTCTTTTTATCTTTGCTGGCACAGTGCATTGCAATACCAGTTGGCTGACTGGTCCACCACTTTTGCTTCAAACTGCAGCTTTAGAGGTTTTTCCCCCTGGGGCCCTCATGATGTTGACACTTGTTCTTTTTTCTCAGTGGATGGCTGTGAAAATGGATACTCAAATTTACATTACCCTCAGGAAATGCCTGATATCGTTGGTGATCTGTTGACTTATCGGTATGTGCTATCGTCAGGCAAAATTTATCTGTCTTATCATCTCCAAGTTAATGTGATTTCTGTTAGTCTCGCCTGCACTTTGTGTTAAGTTCCAATTAGCAAATTAGTCTCAATTGTCATCCACCTCATCCTTCTGCTCCCTTTGACTCTGCGTACCAAGCTCTCCTCTGTCCTTTCTCTCACGCTGAGAAGTCTCAGAAGATTAGTACTTGCTACAAACCTTTTTCCTTTCTTTTGTTTTTCATCCCAAGCTGAATGTGAAAAAAAGGAACATGTCAAATCTCCCTGCAGTTTCCCTGCAAAGCTGTCAGGTTGTGTTTGACAAGGTTGTGATGCTGTCAGGAGTCACTGGAGGAGTGGGTACCGGTGTTATCCTCCGTGCCCTGACTGATGTACAGTGTCAGCTCCCCGCCTTGGGAGTCAGTTCTGGTGCTGCCATTCTGGTGTGTTTTCCCTTTTTACAAGGATCCTGCACCCTTCCCCCTTCATTGATATACAGGCACCAAACATGTGCGCACACATGCACTGATGTACTCCTGCCTCCTCGCTGCAAAGATCTCCCCACTGTTCTCATGTGTGTTTCTTTTAATTAATTAATTTAAAGTGTTCTCAGCGACATGAAAAACATGGCCTGAATCGAAGCAATCGAACAATCGAAGCCTTAGTGGATCTATTCGTCACATTAGCGTGTGATTTAACAATCTTTGCGATTTAGCTGTGGCTGCTGCCTCTGACAGTGTGACAAACTTTGCTTAATATTTTGACAAAGTGAGGCATCAAGTTTTATGCAGTATGAGTGTACTTAGCTTATCCAAGTTAAAGTATTTTTGTACAGTAATGGTGCTGTAGAGAAGCTCTAAAAATGTTGTATTAAAGTATTCTCACAAACATTACAGTTGTTACATATTAATAACCCCAAAGCTATGTAGAATCTGAAAAAGCAGTGGCACCAAATTACTGAGTTGTTCCCTCAGTTATGCTGTAACAGTATTCAATCAGGGCCTTTTTCCAGGAAGCAGGTTCATCAAACTCTGAGTCTAGCCATAAACCGAGTTCCCTTTAAAAAAAAAAGGGAGATCAGAGTGAGTTCAATAGACTCTGAGTATGATCATCTTGAGTTAACTACATGATGCATGCGTAGAGAAAAAAGCTCCTCGTCAGTGGAGCTGTAATAACACGAGTTATAATTATGGGTAAATTGTACCAGTGCTGAATATGAACATGTGCCACTACGGCCCAGAATATTGATTTAAGAAAATAAAAATAAAAAAGGGGAAAGTTTAGTTCACTCTGTCATCATCAGACACAGAAAAAAACAAAGTTGCATACAAATATTTACATTTTTCGTGCTCTCCATGGTCACCATTTATCTTAGCTAACGTGAGTTTTCATTAGCTAAAGCTGCAATCTTAATTTGACATCCCAGTTTGTGTTTCCATCTAATTATTCAGCAAGTTAACAGAGGAAAAATGTAGGTGACAGAAGCTGAAGATAAAAACACTGACTGACTCATCAGACATGTAACAGTTTATGGCCACTTCATTTTTTTAAAGAAATGAAATTCAATCAGCATTTAATAAACTGATGTGCTGTAACAGTCTGATTTTTAATGTTAGAGGATTTAATTATTTCTTCCATTATTGGATAAAAATGCTTAATGAAATTTACAGAAAAACTATGCTTTGTTTCCCAGTTTAACCTTTTTTTAATCTGATCTAAGATCAGCCTTTACTGATAGCTGATAGCTGTCATACAGTCAGTAGTAACTGTTTCACATTTAACTAAAAAAATGCAGCTTACCAAGTTTTGTAAGACACATTTAAGCTTTTATAGCGCTGTCTACTGTACATCAGCTAGATTTGACATATTTCATTATAGCTTTGGCGAAATGACCTATTTCAACCCATGAGAAACCAAGGTCACACAGGTGTTCTTGTTAAAGTTTCGACACTGACTCTCCCATAGTTTTCCTGACAGTAAAAATTGGTCTGGGCTCTTACGGGTTAAAATCAGGAATACAGACAAAATAAGCCCGCCTTGATTCACCTGAATGGGAAGAGCTGGGAAATTACCTCATCTGAAATGGATCTGGGCCTGATCTGGTCTGAATCTATGATCTTTATCCATTTTGGATCTGCACTGGATAGTTTCACTTTTCCTGTACGCCATCCTATGTTAACCCCACAGATGGTTGTGCAGGAAAATCTCAGTCGATCAGCAGTTTCTCAAACCAGCCTGCCTGGTACAAACAACCATGCCACATTCAGAGTTACTTAAGTCATATTTCTTCCCCAAACTGACACTCGTGACCTGCTGCCAGGTGATTGTCTGACTATATAGTTATGTTAACAAGTTGAACAAGTGTACCTGATAATAAAGTGGGTGAATATTTACTGCCAATAAAGAAAATGCATTTTCATGTCTGTCAGTTTTGGATGCTATATTAAAAGTTTTTGAGAGTCATAGTTCATTAAAAGTCAAAAGCAATGCTTTGTGTGTATAAAACACAACACTAATTTACTTAAAATTTATTTACAGTTAATATAAGTTCAAGCTAATGTAAACAGGGTTGGTTTGAGCAGAAAACAGTTTAGCATTTAATACTTTTAATCTTTTAATTTATGACATTTCAACATGAAAATAAACATAATGTTAAAAAGGAATGGACTATTAAAGATATGGCTTCTTGTTCTAGACATGCATGTAAGTGCGTATAGTCTGACCTTTTAAAAGACAATCTCCTTGGTAACAAAGCTCCACCTCGCAGGTGGTGGTTTGACTGGCATACTCCAACTTCAGACCAGCTAGTGCACTGTGGTGTATTTCAGTACAGTACAGCTCATTAGAGGCCACAGAGAGGATGCAGCCTTTGCCTGCTGTGCCACAGAGCACACAGGGGCATACTGGGTTCAGCAGTTTAGCCCGCCTGGTGATAAGGGGGGTGGGAGAGGCCGTTTGTAGGGAAGGGAGATTCGCTGCTGCAGGCGTTGGTGGAGTTGGCTCGTGCTGCAGACTAAAATTCACTCTGGGCTCCGTCTCCGGCTGCTCCCACAGCGCGGCACGCCACAGCATGTCAGCGTCATCAGAGTGGGAGAGATTGCAGTAAAAATCTAACAGGGGATTTCAAATTCATTGTGTGCTTTCTTGACACCGTGACCCCGTTTCACCTAAAAATAAACCATTTATACACATTTATTGGTCTAAAATCTGGATGTTTCTGCATGTGAGAAGAGATTTGTATTCTTTCCTTCATGTTTCCACTTAAACTGAGCTTTAAATGGTGCTTCTCCCACGAACCTAAAACATCTGGATCGAGACAATTTTCTTTGCACGTGGCTGATTGTGGTTATCAAGGTGAACCAGCTGGCCGGTGCTTATTCGTCTCAGTATCATCCACTGACTGAAGCAGTAAGAAAAAAAAGAGGAAAAAGAAAACACAGGAAAGCAGAACTATTAAAAAATAATGGTCACTGTGTTGTTGTTGTTTTATGGTAGAGTGGCTGTGTTGACTGCTTTGCTTTGTCAGCACCTGTGAGTGCTTCACAAAGTGCTGTTACCTCAGCCTCAGGCGAGACAACATTTCAGGCTGACGGCTGATCACAATGAGTGACGAGTACTGTGGCAGGAACACAAGTGCCTCAGGCACTAAGTGTAATCCTTCAGGTTTTTTAAACCAATAGTTTGATTTAGCTTGACCAGTAACAGTTACCTTTACTCAAAGTGGTTTTGTGCTGTGGAAATTACAGTCCGGTCTATTGAAAAGAACGGAAGTCTTTTTAAATGGTGACCTTTTTTTAAGGAATACAATATTTGAGAATGTGGAAGACATTTAATTGAATTGTTCTCCATTGTGTTTAAAAAATGCATAGATTTCATCTTATTTGTTGGAAATCTATCTGTGGCAGGGTGTGGCTTGGGGCTCAGCTGCAAGGGAGGCTGAGACACACCGGAGCTCCGTCAGCCAATTACGTCTCCCCTATAAAGAAATGTACTGGGACCTGAGTTGGGGTTGTGCGTGTGACTGGCAGCTGAAAAGCTGCGACCGTGTATTAAAGGCACGAACA